GGCTGGAGTGCCCAGTTTCAGAAGCAACTTACTGGTATGATCAAAGGGGCTGGCCTTGGCCTTGCGGGAGGCTCCCAGTTATAGCTTCTGAAGAAGCAGTTTCAGTTACCTTCCCGGGCCCCAGTTTTCCCCACAGCTGGATAGGGATAATAATCCCCTCAGAGGTCCGTTCTTACTCTTGGGAATCCCCTTGCTTTATTTTCCAGGACTCCCCCCGACCCCCACATCTATACTGGCAGGTAAACCTAGGCTCGGAATCCATACATTATGATCTCTAGTTCATGCAATGAACTCAGTAGCCACTCAGCAGCCCATATCCAGGGTAAGCTTAGGGTCCTCCTTCTCCAGGAAGCCTTCTTGGATGTCTGCCCAGGGAGACAAGCATCTCTTTGATAATCAGCAGCATACAGCTTTGTCTCTACCTGTTCCTTGAAAGCTTCATACACGTGAGTCCTGTCTCCTCTGCCAGCAATTGGAAGACAGGGAACACAGCTTATTGACACTTCTGACTTTGCTTACCTAAGTGTCCCTCAGGGACAGGATACCATCTTGGTCATTTTTGCATCTTTGGTGCTTAACACAGTGTTTGGCACACAGTAGGTACTCAGAAACTTGCTTTTTACCATTTACTGCTGAGTGTGGCATGGTGCCAGGTACAAGGCAGCTGCCAAATAAAGACTTGGTAATTGGCTTGAGTCAATAAGTGCTGGTTGATTGAATAAATGGGTCGCCCTAAAGATACAGTTCTGAGTCTCTCATCCTGTTGGTACTAATGTCCTGATGCCCCAGACAACTCCTTTTCCTTATCTGTGGCATGAGAAAGTTGGAGGAGATCATCTTTAAAGCCACATTAAGGGGAAAAACCATGAATGGTGATAGGCCAACTTCTTCCTAATTATTTCAGTAAACATTTAATAAGCATATATTATGTGCAGGGCAAGATGAGTAAGACAGAATGCCAGTTGTCAGTAAGTCTGTGGCTTATGAGGGCAAGGGGGAGACAGGTACACAGCTCAGGGAAGCCCCAGACCTGTGCCAAGCCAAGGTATGAACAATGTGCCAGGAACTTCAAAGTTAGGCACAGATTATTTTTTTAGATGGAGTTTCACTCTTGTTGCCCATGCTGGAGTGCAGTTGTGTGATCTTGGCTCACCGCAACCTCTGCCTCTCGGGTCCATGTGATTTTACTGCCTCAGCCTCCCGAGGAGCTGGGATTACAGGCATGCACCATCACACCTGGCAGCATTTTGTATTTTTAGTAGAGACGGGGTTTCTCCACATTGGTCAGGCTGGTCTCGAACTCCTGACCTCAGGTGATCCACCTGCCTCAGCCTCCCAAAGTGCTAGGATTACAGGCTTGAGCCACCATGCACAGCCCCAGGCATAGATTTTTCTTGAGGCAGAAGTGAGTGGAGAGGGCTCACTGAGTGGGAGGCCCTTCTTTGTCTCTCGTTGGCCACCTTCTGCATGACAAACCTCAGGACATCAATTGCTTCTTTGAACCGTGCAGTGGCTCACGCCTATAATCCCAGCACTTTGGGAGGCTGAGGCGGGTGGATCACAAGGTCAAGAGATCAAGACCATCCTGGTCAACATGGTGAAACCCTGTCTCTACTAAAAATACAAAAAAAAAAAAAAAATTAGCTGGGCATGGTGGCGTGCACCTGTAGTCCCAGGTACTCGGGAGGCTGAGGCAGGAGAATTGCCTGAACCCAGGAGACGGAGGTTGCGGTGATCCGAGATCGCGCCATTGCACTCCAGCCTGGGTAACAAGAGCGAAACTCCATCTCAAAAAGACTTCAGGACCACATTTGGAGAAATTAGGTTTAGAACAGCAGAGGCCTTGCTAAAGGTTGTTAACCAAAGACAGAATTTTTAAGCACTAGATGTCATTAAAATCTTCGTCGGCTCACTCAAAATTAAGGCAATGAAAAATTAATTGAAGTGGATTTCTACTTGGCTCCTGCTGAGATTCTAGGGTGCCAGTGACCAGGGTGGAGCCTTATTCTGTACTGAGCGGCAGGAGCCAGCAGGGCAGGGGACGCTAGGCCAGAGATACTGCGGGGGAAGCACTGTCCCTGGTTCTTGGCTGCTTAGAAACTTTCTGGTAGTGAGCACAGGCTGTGGGGCAACTTAGTGTTAATTATTTATCCGAGAACCTATACTGCCAGAAATGACTGCATTTCTTTCTCTTTGCTGTTCATCGCCTTGGGACAGGCTAGTAGGTTTACTCCTGAAATGCTTACTAAGCACTTCCTGTACTGATGGCTTACATTTACTGAGCACTTACTATGTGCCAGGCACTGTTAGCACTTTATAGGTAGTAACTCATTTAAGCTTCAAAACAACCCTATAGTTGCAAGGATAATTATCTGTATTTTACAGACGGAGAGTTCAGGCCCTGAGAAGTTAAAAGACTTGCTCAAGGTCATAAACCCAGGCAGTCTGTCTCCAGAGCTGGTTTTTAACTACCGTGTTATCCGTGCCTCAGTGTGTGGCAGGCAGTGGATGCAATGGTGAATAAGGCAGATGCCTCCTTAGAGCTGATGGCCATGTGAGGGAGGCAGATAATGAACAGTTACTACAGCGGTCACTGAATTCTGATCTAAGTACCACTGTAGGAAAAGTGTAGGGTAGAAGAATTAGTCAAGGGCATGCTTTTGTCTTGGCCAGGAGGGGGGTGGGTATCACAGGAGGGGGAGCGCCTTCCCAGAGGAGGAAAGGTTTACATTGAAATCTAGTAGATGAGGAATTATCAGGTGAAAAGAAGGGGAAGGAGTGATCCAGGCAAGGAGGGAATAGCACATACAAAGGCCAGGAGTCAGGAAGGGGGTTGGCTTCCCAAAGAAGTAGACTATGGCCCTGATGGCTGGAATGTAGTGAGCAACAAAGTGAGCAGAGCGAGGTGGCAGAGCCAGATCCTGTGAGCCCTGGGCCCTGGTAAGGATTTAAAATTTTATGTAAGACTCGTGGGAAGCCATTGAGGCATTCTGAACAGGGACTGACATGGCAGATCTGGGTGGATCTGGGTGCAGAATGAATGCAGCTGGGCAAGAGTGGAGGCCGAGGCAGTGCCAGACGTGGGATGGTGCCCAGCAGGCCGCATGGTGGCAGTGGGATGAAGAGATGGATTTACCTGGCGTTTGGGAGGCAGGCTGACAGGATAGATACAAGGACCAGGATTCTGAGACTGGACTAAGGAGAAAGTCCCTTGTCCCCTTCTCCTTCATATTCTCTAGATTGAGCACTTACACCCACCATGTGGCAGCCTTTGACCTTCTACTGGAGTGACTCCAGTGCCTTGGACAGAGCTTGTAACTAATAGATGTTCAATAAATACTTACTTGAATTGAATGGAACGGAGAACAGGAACCCAGAGCAGATATGGGGAAAGATGCATATTCAGGGAGCAAGAAGAAAGGTATTGAAGGAGAAAGAAGGGTCAAGACAATTAGAATACCAAGAACCCAGTTTGGCAGTACCTGGGTGCTGGCCCAGCAAGGGAAGGTTACCTGTCCATCCGGCCAGGCAGCAGCAGTGCCCTGTGACGGGGTCACACCCATCAGCATGGCTGCAGTCACAGTGTTCACTGCAGTTCAGCCCAAATGTGCCATCCTGTGGGGAAGACCAGGAGAGAAAAATGGTCAGACCCAAACTTCAGGGGTTTGTGTACTTCTACCGGATCTTTCTTTTAAAATTTTTTTACTTTTGGAGGGTCCAGTAGGAACTCCTGGATCTTGATGACAAAACTGAGCCACAACCCCACAGGGATGTAGGGAGACTGGGGCTGGGGCACAGTGGGGACACATTTTGTAAGTGGAGATCAACACAGTCCTGAAATCACTCACAGGAGTATGAGGCTGGGAGGGAGGGGGGTGATATTCCTACCCTACTTTTCAGTGGTCAAGCTCAGAGGCCTGTAATGATCATTGACTAAAATCGGAAATGAAAATGCACTTTGCAGATTGTAACACGTTGATCACATGTGAGGAAAGACTATGATTTATTCTTTGTTGCTGGGAAAGAAGGTGGTCACCCATTCTCATATGCTCATTAGGTATCAGGAGGTTCATAGACCTCGTTTTTCTTAATCCTCACAATAGCCCCTGATGTGATTCCATCATATTCCCACTGTAAAGATGAGAAACGAAGTTAGAGAGGTGAAGCAACATGCTCACCCAAAGTAACCTCCCTAACTTTGGGTAACAAAGGCTGTGACAAAGCTGAGATTTGAACCCCGGATTGCAGGACTCCAAATTGCTCATTAGACTGCATTGCTCATTCAGTAACATCAGCTGGCTTAACTTATTGGTATCGTTTTTTTTTTTTTTTGGCGATGTCACCAGGCTGGAGTGCAGTCATGCGATCTCGGCTCACTGCAACCTCTACCTCCTGGGTTCAAGCAATTCTCCTGCTTCGGCCTCCTGAGTAGCTGGGATTACAGGCATGTGCCACCATGCCCAGCTAATTCTGTGTTTTTAGTAGAGATGGAGTTTTTCCATGTTGGTCAGGCCGGTCTCGAACTCCTGACCTCAAGTGATCCACCCGCCTTGGCCTCCCAAAGTGCTGGGATTACAGGTGTGAGCCATCATGGCCCAGCCCATTTGTATCTCAGATCCATGAGACCCAGTGATTCCGTCTGGGTGGTTACTGTTGAACAGTGCTTGTGTTAGTCACCACGCACTCTGATCATACAAGTGTAGGAAGCTGAGACACCACCAAGGAACGGCAGCTCTCGTGGATTAGTAGGGGCTGTCTCGTAGCGCTGTGCTGCAAAGGAATCTGAAGCTGCATTTGAGCTCGGTGCCAAGGTCCGTAATGTTTACCAGGAGCAGCCAGGGAAGAGTGATGCCATGTCACCACATCTGCCAAATACTTGCCATTTTTACATGAGAGGGACGAGGGCCAAAGTAGTAAAATAGCCACAGAGTGGTTCGGACTAGGATTGTGACCTCAATCCGAGTGTCCCATCACCTAGCTTAGTGCTCTTCTCTGTGCGCTCCTGTGGACAAACTAACACCAGGGAAGCGGCGGGCATAAGGGGATGCTGAACCCAATGTGTCCCTCCCCACCTTGGCACTCACCGGGCAAGGCAGCTCACAGGTGTCTCCCAGCCAGCCAGGGGTGCAGGAGCAAGAGCCATCCATGGGGCTGCACGCTGCCCCATTGTCACAGGTGCAGCTCTCATTGCAGTTCAGGCCCCACGTCCCACTGGGACACGGCAGGGTGCAGTCCGGGCCCTGCCACCCTGAGGGGAGGGAAAGGGACTGTCACTTCTCCATCCAGGTCCAGTGTGTCCTTTTGCCCACTTGCCCCAGCTCTGCACACAGCATCCTACCCAAACCATTCCACACAGTCAGCTCAGAAATACAACGGAGCTGTTAGGAGAGCTGGGCGAGAACCCGGGTCTCCTACCTCGGGGTGCTCATGGTTTGTGCTGCAGGCAGATGATCCCACCTGGAACAGGCACCAGCTCAGGTGCAGAGTGCTGTCTCTGCCCATGGTGGAGTCTGGAAGCTCATCTCAGGGCCCTCTGTTTGAGGGACAGGCTGAGTCTCCGTTCTGCGGCTGCTCACGGGCCTCTTTGTCTACCGTACCATTGTTCCCCTTCCCTGTTCTGTGACGGGGGCTGCCCCCTGCCCTGCAGACTGCATATCCCAGGATCCCCTCAGCTGGCTCCCAGCACGGCCAGCCGTGGGAGACCTGCCCATAGGCCAGAGGGCAGAAGCAGGAGAGACAGGTGTGTCCGCTCCCTCGGGCCTCTGCTGGTGCAGCCCCTTTCTGCACGTCCCAGCTCCCACCAGGTGGCCCTCGCTCCCAAGCTCTGGGAACTCTTCCTTTCGTCCCTCCGACCCTAGGAGTGACAGCAGCTTCCCCTACAGGTGCAATGCCTGGGTTGCACACCCTCCCTGTGTGCTCTTCAGCTCTTCCAGCAGCATTGCAGTGAATCCCCTCATTATATTCCTGCTGCTGAAGCTCCTGGCATGGGCTTCCAACCAGTAGAAGCTCCCTGACGTTGCATGTGGGTAGGATTGGGGCAGCCCCACCTGCAGCCCCTCGGCAGGCAACCTACCTGGGCAGTGTGCTCATGTGGGGGATGGGCTTGGGAGGGAGGGCCCGTTACCTTCCTTGCAGGTGCAGGAGCCGTCCACTGGGGAGCAGGTGCCACCATTGTTACAGCTACAGATGGACGAGCAGTTGGGGCCGTAAGTCCCTGCTGCACAGGAAATGGCACAGAACTCTCCCTGGAAAGGGAGGGGGGGATTTGGGATCACAGGTTGCTCCACGTTGGATGGAGGTAGTAGGCAGGATAATGACCCCCGCCACCCCCAACACATCCGTGTCCTAATCCTTGGGATCTGGGAATACATTACCTTACATGGCAAAAAGGGACTTTGCAGATGTGATTAAGGCCCTGGAGATGGGGAGAAGGTCAGGGGTTATCCAGGAGGGCCCAATATAATCATGAGTCCTCAAGAGTAAAAGGTGACCAAAGAAGGCAGGTCAGAGGGATACACCATGAAGTCCTCCACCCGCCTGTGCCGACTTGGAAGATGGAGGAAGGGGCCACGAGCTGAGGAATGCAGCGGCCTCTAGAACCTGGATCAACAGCTCCTTTACAGCTGGCAAGAACATGAGGGCCTCAGCCCCGCAAGCAGAGGAACTGAATTCTGCCAACAACGTGAGTGAGTGGGAATCAGACCGTCTCCTAAAGCTTCAGGAAGGAGCACGGCGTGCCGGCGGCACCTTGACTTCAGTCTCATGAAACCCGCACTGGACTTCTGACCTTCAGGACTATCAGATAATAAATTCGTGCTGTTTGAAGCCACTAAATTGTGATTTTTTTTTACAACAGCAATGGAAAACTAATATTATAACCCTTATCAGTTATTGGAGGGGTCAGGCCTCCAGGCCACAACTCTTGGGTGGGCAAAGCCCCCGGGGACCTTGACCCCAAAGTCTGTATTAGGCTGAAGCAGCACCCAATCTAACCCTTTGCCTCCCAGTCTTATTTCTTACCCACAACCCCATGGCACGAGTAGGAATATCCTATCCCCATGTGCCTGAGCCTCAGAGAAGTTAAATGTAAATGACAGCTAATGCGTATTGAGTGCTTTCTTGATGTCATGGACCACACACATACCATGTCATCTAATTGTCACAGCACTCACAGGAGATAGAAGCCATTGTCTCACCTAACAGTTAACACAACTACTTAACTCTGCCAAGGTCACACAACCAAACCCAGCTGCTCCTGTTTGGAAGCCAGGCTGGCTGCCTAACCATTACATGACCGGGATCCTCAACTGCTACCCTGCAAAGCATTCTGAGATGGGGATGAGCGAGCTCTTGAGAATAGTCCCGGTAAGGGATAAGGAAGGAAGTCTGGGCTGAGGAAAAGTGGAACCAACTCATGGCCACAGTAACCTTCGCTGGTCTGGCAGGAAGCTCTGAAGCTGAGATGACCCCTGGAGTTGTCCCCCTTGGGGGAAAGGGAGGGAGATCCTTTACGCCCCCATCAATCACTGGCCATCCACTGGGGTGGGGGAAGGGGCTGTGGCTCTTCAGATGAGTCGGCTGACTTGGAGGGCAATTTCTACAGAGGCCCTCACCCGGGAGCCACTTTCTGGCAGCTGGGGAGGAATGGGTACTTCTGTCCTGAGGGGTGAATCTGGGCCTCCATCTACTGGTAAGTGGGCGTGCTGTTAGCTCCAGTAAGGAATTTGGAAGAGGGGCAAGTTACAGAGTAGGGGGACCAGGAACGGAGTCCTCAGAGGCCTTGAGAGGTGGGAGCATTCAGTTAATCAGAGAAAAGTGGGGTAAAGGCCATCCAGGTGGGAAGAGGGGTGTGGACAAGAGTTCTGGGGAGTCCTGCTCTATGGGTGGCTGAAGGGGGGAGTGAGGGAGATACGTAAAAGGGGGTCTGGAGCCTAGAATGCCAGGGGAGGGAGTTTGGGCTTTCTGCCCTGAGGTCCCTACTTAGGAACCTGCAGTGGGGCTGTCTACGCCGGAGCAAGTGGGCAGTGGATGTTGAATTCTCACTTCCCGCCCCTAGGGAGTGCCTCAGCCAGCGTCTCAGGTCTTACACCTGAGCTTTCCATGGGAATCCTGATAAAAAATCTGTCTGGGCCCCACTAGCTATGTGACATGGGATATGTACTGCCCCTTTCTGAGTCTTGGTTCCTGCGTCTCTAAAATGACAGGCTTGACGCAGAGGAGCTCCCTTCTCAATCTAAGGGTCTAGGCCTCTGTCTTTACTCCCATGTGGACCAGAGAGACTAGAGGCTGTGGGTCTTTGCCATGGAGAGGCTCTCACCCAGCCCTTTTCTGCTTCTGTCCCGTCCTCAGGGTCAGTTCCTGCTCTTTCCCCTGAGTCCCCAGCAGGCCTGACCAGCTGGAGTCTGTCAGCTTTCCCATTACCTAGAAAATTCCAATTTTTCCAAGACGATAAATAGCACCTAAGAATCTATTTGACCTGTGAGGGCCTTGGCCTGGGTGCAGACAGTGGGCACAGCCAATGCCCTTCCCTGCATGCATGAATCTGCTATCAGAGAGAAGGAGTTTCTTTCCCAGTGTCCTCATTAGTGTCCCCAACCCTGATCACCCTGCAAGGCCTCGGGTTGCCTGTGAGCCCCGTTGTGGGTTTGCTGATGGGGCTGAGTGCCCTGATTCATGAAACAGGATGCCGGGAGCCCAGCTCCACACATCTGCTCCCCACAATGCTGTGTCAGTTTCCTCCCAGAGATGCCCACACTTGGTCTTTGTGGCAGTCCTGGGAGGCCACCGGGCTGAGACGGCTTTCTGATTCCCAGAAAAGAAAAGGGAGACTCAGAGACGGGCGGTGGCTTATCCAGGACCCCTGGTATGTTAGTGCCAGTGAAGGTGAAGGAGAAAGAACCAGATCTTCCATCCTGAGAGGCAGCAGAGGTGAGGGATCAGAGGGTGGACTCCGGCACCATCCTGCTTCCACAGCGCACTCACTGGGTGATCATAGGCAATTTACTAAATCCCCTGAGCCTCCGTTCCCACATCTGTTAAATGGGAATTAAAATGTCCCCTTCTCATAGGATTATTAAGAGTATTAAATTAGTTATTATTTGTGTAGCAGTTAGAATAATGCCTGATAGGGAGAAAGCACTATGCAAACTACTAGTACAAAGACATAGTATCTCTTAGGGAAAGAATACACAAAATCCTCCCAGGTTGAAGAAGGAAGTTCTAAGGCCAGGCGTGGTGGCTCACGTCTGCTCAAGCACTTTGGAGGCCAAGGTGGGAGGATCCACCTGAGGTCGGGAGTTCAAGACCAGCCTGACCAACATGGTGAAACCCTGTCTTTATTTAAAAAAAAAAAAAAGAAGGAAGTTCTAGAGGAGAGATCCATTTCTCAGTCAAAAAGAGCCAGCCCTGAAGGAGAAGAGGAGGCAGGGTGGGTTCCCCTGGCAGGGGGTTAGGTAGAGTCCTGACTCCATGCCCTTGTTTACCTTTCGATCACCTTCTCTGGGCTCGGCTCCCTGTTCCCCCTCAGGTTTTATTACCACACACTATGGGCATGGTCTTGGGGGACAGAATGATGACTCCCTGAGGGCCACTGTTCCAAACACTTTGCATTTGTCAGTTCCTCTGATATTGTGAAATATATATTATGTCTTCCTCCAGTTTCCTGCCAAGCAACGCCTGGAACCCTTAGAATTTCCAAAGTGAGGTCATCTTGTGTGCTAATGATTGACTGACAGCTGCTTCAGGATGGGGGCTGGTCACCGGAAAGACCAGGCAGATTAGAAAGCGGGGGACTTGCAGCCCCACCCCCCGCTGAGGGAGGAAGGTATAAGGAAGAGGGGCTGCAGGTTAAGTTGATCACCAAAGGCCAATGATCAGCGACCCTCTGTGAAAACTCTAAAGGACAGGGTTTAGAGAGCTTCTGGAAGGTTGTGCACCTGGAGAGGGCATGGAAGCTCCACACCCCTTCCTACACCAGGACGGGTGTATACACCCCTTCCTACATGTCTTGCTTTCTGCATCTTTTGTAATATCCTTTATAATAAACTAGTAATGTGCTTCCCTGAATTCTGTGAACCTATGTAGCAAATTAATCGATCCCAAGGAGGGAGTTGCAGGAACCCCAATTTATAGCCTGTCAGAAGCACAGGCAAAACAGCCTGGAACTTGTGAGTGGCATCTGAAGGCAGGAGGGCCTGAGCCCTGAGCCCTCCACCTGGGGGACCTGATGCTGTCTCCAGGTAGCCAGCGTCAGAAATGAATTGGAGGGCACCCAGCTGATGTCTGCAGCAGAACTGACTGTTGGCTGGTCTTTGTTGAGGAGGAGAAGAGAAGAAACTCTTTGTGTTTTTTTCCACTCAGCTTCTAATAGCAAAAAGTCCCAATGGAGAATCAGACAGTTCTAAAGTGCGCAGCTCTGCCCTGGAGGAATGTAACCTTCGCACAACTAACTTCAAGCACTCTCCTCTTGCACGGCACTGTCCTTGCCCCCTGGCCTTGGCACCAGTGCCCACTGGATTCTAACAACTCAACAAGCACAAGTTTTACACTAACAGTTAAAGTTTTTGTCAGATTCCCTAACTTCTAGCCTCTAATCTGAGGGCGAAGCCTGGTCTGTAACTGACTGGCCTGCCAGTCTCTGGTGATTGATGTTCAAAGCAAACCAATCACCAGCCTATCTCAGATTAGACTATCAGCTCTGCCCACCCCGAGGTATCCCCTGGCCCAAGGTGTAGTGATACCTGTTTAATTTGGGGTACCGCTAACAAGCAAGCCTTAATCGTGATGGTCTGAGTGGGACCCAGGTCTACATGGGTCAGCATTTATGTCCGCCCGTGCTCAGGCAGTGGGTGTAGACACCTGTGTGTTTCTTTGGGTGTTTGCCTTGGGTAAGTCTGTGTAGATTTTCTCCGGGTGTCTTCCCTGACACCCCTCCCCAGCCCACCAGCCCACCAGCCCTACCCTGGTGGGAACTGGGTGCTTACATAGCAACCATCATCCCGGCACCCGAAGGTTGTGGTTGGCTCAGTGCCTTCCTCCACCTCAGGCTGTGAGCTCCATGGGGATGGATCCGATTGTATTCATGTCTAGATTCTCAGTGCTTGGGCCCCTGCTGGTACATAATGGATTCTCGATAAATGTTTAATTGAAATGAGATGTTTGTGTGTACTTGCTGGCTTCTACTGTGGACAGAACCAGAAGGACCGGGCATTTTCCATATACTTTCTCTCGTATGCCAGGCAATTCA